AGCAGGGAAAGCATGGGCCAATGGGCAAGGGGAATGGGAATGGTGGGTGGGACTCTGGTCCCTGTGGGTGGCACCCTCTGCCTTCAAGCAGGCATCATTAGGATATGCAAAGCATATGCAAATCATCCAGAAGAGAGACACGACTCCGGTGGAATGTCAGAAGAGACCTTGAAGATGATCCAGCCCATGCCTCCTCCTCCGTTCACAGGTGAGGAACAGAGGCCCCACCAGGAAGGGACTTGCTCAAGGTCATTCAGACATTTGGGCAATGAGGAAGGAGACTAATGAGGGCTTTACTCAGTCCAGTGCTCTTTCCATGGCCGCCTTATCTTTCCTGTGGGGGGGTTGCAAGGTGGCAAAGGGAGCACAGGGTCTCGATGGGGCTCCAAGGGGGCCTATCAAAACCCCACCTTCCTGCCTCTGAGCCTGGAGATGGTGTGGTGAGTGTGAGGGGAACAGAGGGCAGAGATGCCCGGGAGAGTGGGTGACCAGACGGGTGGAGGGGCCAGAGCCGGAGGCACTGTTTTCCTGCAGCCAAGCAGCAGAAGGCAGCCGGACTGGAGCGTCTGAAGCCAATGTCAGGGCAAGGTGCCTGCTGTGGTGTGGGGAGGGGATGACGCCCTTACACACACGCACCCCTAAGTGCCCAGCAGCCCCTTCCGCCTGGACTCTGATGACCGTGGCACCTGACAGACCACAATGAACCCAGGCCCTTCCTTGGCTGCTGCCGCCTTCCCACCCCCCACCCCCCAGCTTGGTTTCTCAACCTTCCAGACAGTCCTAGAAAGCAGGACTCAGGCTGGGGAAAGGAAGACAGACAAATGGGAGGAGCCAGACTGAAAGGAAAAGGGGAGACTGAGGAGCAGAGGGGGAGACAGGGGGGAGAAAGCATGAAGGGCAGAGCAGGAGAAACAGGGGCAGAGGGAGGGGAGGTCACGAGGAAGGAAGTCGGGGAGACTGAGGGTCATGGAGGGGACTGTGGGAGCAGCGGAGCAGCGAGGGGAGGGCTCCCAGCCTCTGAATCAAAGGACAAAGCTGGAGCCTGGATATGGGGCACAGGAACCCCATGGAGGCCTGGGGCTTTCTGGCAGGAGTTGGGGACCATGCCCCTGCCCCTCTGCCCACCTCCCCAGCAACTCTCCAGGCTGCCAGGAAATCAGTCCTCCCTCCTCTGCCTTCTTCCCTCCCTCTTTCTATCCCTCCCTTTCTCCTCCCTCCCTCCCTCTTCCTGGGGCTGGGGGGGCGGGGGGGGGCAAGCCTGCTTCCTCGCCAAATCCAAAGCCTTCATCTCTGCTTTTCAGAGCCAGGCATGAAAGAAGGGGAAGCGAGTGCAGCCCTCAAACCGCTGACGGCCAGATTTTTATTATCTTTGCTCCAATAGGCCCTAGGAAGTCAACAAGGGAATCTTCAAAGAGCATCTCCGCGGCTCACTGGAGCCGGCACCTGCACTGGCCCACTCACGGCAGGCAGCCAGAGCCTGGGGGACACGATCTGTCCCCCACCTCCCCCCAAGCCCAGAGCCCAGATCCGAAGCTGCCAGGAGCCTCACCCTCAGCCTCCGTGCCTAGGCAAGGGCCACTTGGCCAGGCAGCCGGGCTCCAAGGCCAGGCCCAGGGCCGCTCGGCCTCAGAGACAGCCTCTGCCCCTCTCTGGACCTCGAGGACACAAGCGAAGGAGGAAATCAGATCTGCTTGCCAGGGCTCGGAGGAGATAAGTGCTTGGGATTCCTAGAAAGAGAAGCTTTTGTGGCAAGCCCTAGATTCCTCCCCAGATCCTTCCCCTGAACTGTCTGCCTGCCCCACCCCCACAGGCCCCTCCGTGGCCTCCTGACTCCCCCTCCTAGAAGCCCTCCCAACCACAGCTGCCCCTCCACTCCTGAGCTCCAGGCCGGCTACTCGGGATGATCCTGGAACCCCAGATAGCTCCCTCCAGACAAATCCTCAACTCCACCTGCCTTCTTTCCCCAAGACCTAACCTGGGGTGGGGGTGGGGCTAAAATAAACCTGCTACTTCAAAAGACCCTCCCCTCCTAAGCTTGGATTTGTCAGAGAAAGCCAAGGTTGGCACTGGGCAGATGGCCAGCGGCACCCCAATCCCTGCCACCACCCGCGCGCCCCCCCCCAACTCTAACCACACCATTGAGGTCAATGCCTGAAGCCAAAGAAGGAATCAATGGTTCTAATTCAGCAGTTCTCAACCTGTGGGTCGCGACCCCTTTGGGAGTCGAACGACCCTTTCACAGGGGTCGCCTAAGACCATCGGAAAACACATATGTAATTACGTATTGTTTTGTGATTAATCACTATGCTTTAATTATGTTCAATTTGTAACAATGAAAATACATCCTGCAGATCAGATATTTACATGATGATTCATAACAGTAGCAACATTACAGTTATGAAGTAGCAATGAAAATAATTTTATGGTTGGGGGTCACCACAACACGAGGAACTGTATTAAAGGGTCGCGGCATTAGGAAGGTTGAGAACCACTGTTCTAATTAAACCCTTTTTCCAGGATGGGTTCCTGGCCAGAGAGAGAGAGTGAGAGAGAGAGAGAGAGAGAGAGAGCATCCGAGCTGTGCATCCCAGCACCCAGCCCCGTTTCCTGCAAATCTTTAAGAAACCTGGAGTCAGGTCTTGAAGACCCCAGAACCCCCACATTAGGCTACAAAGCAAGCAGCAAGCCTGGAGTTGGGGCATCTCAATCCCAGGGACCCTTCCCCTATGGGAGCTCCCCCTAACACTCAGCACAGCCTGAGGACCACAGTTGCTTCTTCCAGACCCCAGAGCACACGGGGGACCCGAGTCCCCATCCCAGCCCCCAGGGTCATCATGATAATGGACCATCATGGTGAGGACGGAAGCAGCAGGGCTGTGGGGGCCCTAGACAAAGACCCTCTTGTCCCCAAGGAGGGGTGGCAGGAAGCCAGGGCAAAGCCTTTGCACTTGTTGCCAGCAGTGCCTGGGTGCCAGGCAGTCTGGGGTGTGTGTGGGGGGTCTTATTCTTGGAAGCCCCTCCCTCCCCGGAGGCCCAAAGCCCTCACCCCCATCCCTGGCGTTGACACCAGGCCATCAGCTAAGTCTCTGCCCCCCAACAGCTCTCAGCTTGCCTGGAGCCCTCCTTCCTAGGTGAATGCCGGTCCAGACACCTGCCCACAGGAGCCCCAACACCAACCAGAAAACAGCCAAAACCCTCACACCGAAACCATAACTGCCCTCCGCGTACCTACAAACACACACCCTCGCCAGAAACCACCACCGGCACAGCCACCGCCAATCATGACCGAGCCTTATGTTTTCACGGTGTCCGTCTCCATCGAATGCATCATCAGTTCTTTAAGATCGCCGACAGAGATGCGGAAGGGAAGGAGGGAAACTGAGGCACGGGGTTAGGCAGCAAAGCCGCTGGCTCAAGGTCACCCAGACCAAGATATCCACAGTTACACACACGGTCCCAAGTGCTCGAACCCCACGCCAAAAACACATTCAGACCCGCAGCCTGAAAGTCCGTCTGGTCAGCTACTCCCCACTCCCAGCCCTCCTCGGGTTCCCAAACATCTTCTGAAAGGCTTCAGCCAGGAACCCTCAGCTCAGGGACCCCTCTTCCCTTCAAGTTGGGGGCTGCCAGACCTCCTGGTTTCACAGTCTTGGGGGAGAGCGAAAGGCAGTCCGGGACCCCCTCCTTGCACCATCGCGGCTCCTGCTCACCTGGCTCCCTTCGGCCCCCGGGGTCCTTCGGTCCGGCCTCCTCCCTGGGAGATCGGGAGCTGCCCTCAGCCGTCCGCTCCCACCAGGCCAGGGCAAAGCGCCGCAGGCACTG